GTGTCCATTGCCTATATATAACTGGGGGTGTGGCAGGGGGGTGTCCTTTGCCTATATACAGGGCTTGAAAAATTTTAGGGCTTCTCACCAGTCGGTCAAAAATTTCACCAGTCAGCATGACCGGACTATAGCCTTGCAATATATGTTAACATTTTTAGGGACACATAGAGCTTTCTCTGGGAAAATAATCAACACTGGGGGGGTATTTTTTACTATATAATGAAAACAGTACAGTACATTTTTTGGGGGAAAAAAAGTGTTTCCTACGTTATGTTATAAAACATTTATTCATTTATTCTTACCCATATTTGTAGTAAAGTATAAAAGGCGGGGTCACGTTGGGTAAATAGACACCAAACATGTCAAGTCTTAAAATTGCGTGCGCCCGCAAAATCGCAAAAAATTACACTGAAAATTGGCCATATTTTGACGCTTTACACACTTATATTATTTATCAGTTTAGTGTAATTAATGGCCCTAAAATTATTGCTCACACTCCGACGTTCGCGTGATATGTAACATGTGCTGCACAATAGGCGCAATCATCGTTTTCGCTAGTAGGCGCACCCGACGCATGTTTGCGTGTGTATGTGGGGGGCTTAAAAAAAATGTTGTGCTTTTTTATGCTTTAATTTTATGTATTTTAGGGGGGTCATAGGGGGCTAGAGAGGAAATGAAAGGGAGATCGTGTACCGAGCTCCCTTTCATCTCCTGTCACAGACCAGCCGTGCCGGTCCCGGGCCACACCGAGAACAGCGGAGCTCGGGACCGGCAAGGCAGTGACAGCTTCTCCTATACAAGCGATCTCTAGAGACGCCCGATCTCTTGAATGTAAAGCTCCCAGCCGGCCATTTAATTACAACGGCCGGGCGGGAAGCTACTCGTCGGGCTCCATAGTCCTGCCGTCACAGACGAGAGGACGAGCGGATTTTTCAAGCCCTGTCCATTGCTCTCGGTAATGTAACTGAGATGGCCAGATATGCCCCCTCCCATGCTCCTCAATCTAAGTCTGTGTGATGATACTGAGGGTTGTGGCTGATAGCACAAGGCGCTGCAGTGCAAGGGCTGGAAGAGCATTTTTACTGCAATAAATAGGTGCTTTAAAGAACTACAGGGAAAAAAAATGTTTGAACCTTTGCACAGCGCTCGCTGGTTACTATTTAAACCGGCGCACGCTGTCACTTGTCTTTGTTCTATCAAAGTTTGTGACCACGTTGAAACGTGGTCATACATTTTAATGTAATCCCGCAATGTTTTACGGCGATGGAATGTGTGACCGCCAATAGGTGAAGCATTCCAACCCTTTATCGGCTGTTCCAGGGCAGATCGTATGTGCAGGAGAACCGATCTGCCCTGGAACAGCTGATCGATCCTGAAATGTCACTTCTATCTGACTTTGTGAATGCAAATCTCACATTCCACAGTTATCACCAGATGATTGAAAACAATGTCCATATTTGTATGTATTAGGAGCACCAACAGAAAGATTCAAAACCACTGATTCAGAACCATCAGATTAAACGATTCAGTTTGCTTCTTTGTACTTTTATCCCTACCCAGTGACCCTACATGATTTCAGTTGTTTTAAATCTTTTCGTTGGCATCCCCAATACATACACACCATGAAGAACCTGACAGCCCCCTAAATGCCGCACGGATCTCCTGAGACCCTGGCGACATCATGCCGTGAGCAACTCAGAGTATGTAGCTTTATATTATTCTGCATTGCTGCATAAAGTATTGCTGGGATTTGTAGTCCGCTATAGCTGATGGGATTATTCTGCAGTGCTTTACAATGTATTGATGGAGTTTGTAGTTCTCTATAGCTGGTGGTATTCTCCATTGCTCTGTAATGCATTACTGGGATTTGTAGTCCTCTATAGTTGGTGGTAATATTCTGCATTGCTGTATAATGTATTGCTAAGATTTCTAGTCTCTCTACAGCTTGGAGTCAGTGGCAGATCTACCGGGCCCTGGCGCTCCAACACTGACTCCAAGCTGTAGAAAGACTACAAATAGCAGCCCGGACAGGAGGGCCCCGGTGACCGTTGCCATTTCCATAAAAAGGCCACCAAAATCCTCAGCACCAGGCCCGTGATTCTCTTAATCTGGCCCTGACTACACTGCACTACACTGACTTCTACACACTATATTTAACTCCAGCAACAAACTACATAAGGCTGCAGTGTAAGCCGCCAGCTTTGTGAAGTTGGCACCCCATGTCTGTAAAACCTGAATGAAAATATACCATTCGTTTGTACCGCGTTTGTGCTGATTTGTGCTGCAAAAACGAGCGTTTGTGCCGATTCGGTTTCTGAGATATTAAACATTCAATTTAATGCAAGCCCCGCCCACTTTGCACCCCATGTTGCTGAATTTTAAAAACAAACACGCCATTCGTTTAACTCAGGTTTTACAAACATGGGGTGCCAACTTCACAGAGCTTAAGCAGCCTTATATAGTTGGGGCTGGGACTTAGCTGTGAGCCATGATTGGGCAAAGTCATCGTTATTTTGCCCAATCATGGCTCTCACAGTGCCCTGTGCTGTGATTTGGCAAAGTCTTGCACCTGGTCAGGTGCATTGCTTTAGCCAGTCAGGGCTCTCACAGTGCACTGTGTGGTGCACAGTGCCTTGTGGGGCGCTCGGCGGGCGAAAAGCCCGACGAACGCCCTGATAGTTCGTGTGTTCGGCGAACACATGAACAAGCGATGTTCGAGTCGAAGATTGAGCCCATCACTACTGTACATTATATTATACAGACAATGAATATCTATTGTTGGGGCTTCTTCACCCTGAACTGACACGATAAAAACAATGGGAGTGGCGAGCGCACAACAGGTGTGGAAAGTATGGAAAAATCTTAAATAACTTTAAAAACCTTTAAAAGCACTTTAAAAAATAAAAAAACTTTTTTATTTTATATATATATATTAAAACCGGGGAAAAATTGTTTTCTTTACATTTTTTCCTCTTTTTTTATATTTTATTTGTCCTAAGTGAGGCGTTAGGTACACATGTGTGATATAAATATATAGACCGATCTGTCCTCTAACATACAATATATAATGTGTGTGGGTGCATTTTGTAAGAAAGTATATCACTGACGTGGAAGAATCACACAGCAAAAATGTCAAAAGTGCGTCCCGTCATTTACCAACAGGAACTGGAAACAAGCTCGGTCATGAAGGGGTTAATATTCAGTCCCAAAACCTCAGCCTGCAAATATAAGAGCAGCCACCAGAGGGAGCCAACGTCACACCGAGAAGAGTTCTCATTAGAATATTCACATTACAATAATAAAGTTTTACAGCCGGTTTCAGCGAGAGGCGAATTGCTGATGTTAAAGTGTGAACTTCTTTTCCAGAGATCAGTGCCAGGGGATAGTTATGCGTTTGTAAGGCATGGCCACACCCCCTACACCGCCTATTGCTCCGCCCTTCCAGTGATAGAGATTCAAGAGATCCATTATTTATGTTTTGTATGTGTTGAAACGCTAATTTCCTGACCATTGTGTTGATTCTCTGGCCTCACTGACTAGCAGCAAGTCTGCAGAGGGGACTTTTCTCCAACATTCTAGAGCTGCATATCTGTTCTGGGTTGGCGGGTCAAGGTGGGTACCGGGCGGTGCGGGTGGGTACCGGGCGGTGCGAGTGGGTCCCGGGCTCCATGGCTCTACAGGCGGTGCGGAGCCTGCCTCTGCGGGCGCCGGAAAGGAGGAGGAGATGTATGACCGACGCAGTCAAAGAAATAGCGGGAACTTAGGCAGCTGAACTTCTTAAAAAATTTAAAGGGCCGCTATCGGCCCTTAGTATCAGGGAAATCTTCACGAGTGCAAGTACTCATGAAAATGCCCCGTGTCGGACGAGTATCGGAACATCCCTACCAGAGAGGTTCTGTCTGCTAGACTTACGGTATATAGAGCAGAGTAAACCTTTCCGGGATATAATGTGTCACTTGGGGGCGTCAGGGAGCCGCTATCTAATAGCGGGAGACTCCCGGAATGACCAGGAGAGTTGAGATGTTTGTAAATGTACGAGATATACTGACCTCATTTAGGATCGGCAATGTTTTATATACAGTATATATATATACATGCATTAAATTGTATTAAATATCAGGTTTCTCTTCATCTATGTTCCTGGTGACATTTTGAGGTCAGGAGGGAACTATTCAGCTTTGCGATCAATATTCCCCGCCGTGATTCCCAATATAAAGGCTCTTCAATGATCCCAGGTGGGGGAACTCCAGACATACGGAATATCGGATCTGCGTGGATCCTCGGGGGAGCGGAGTCTTTAGGATATTATGGACATTTCTCTCGGGAAATAAATGATGATCATTGCTTGTCCCGGTCTGATGAAGGACATTCTCCCATCATTCACCTGAGATGGTGAAAGTGTCACATGTACGATGTTCAGTCCATTCCCAACCTCAGCAAGGAGAAAAATACACCAAAGTCATGTGTGGCCCCTGAGTGCCAGTGTGATGTCATGTAGCATACACACGTGTGTCATAAGTGTCACATCCAGCTGTACATGTAACATGTGTGTGTGCAAATGGGCGGTGACTGGGAGGGGCCACAGATCAGAATAGAGGAAATTATGAGTGGGAGGGAAGAAGATGAGGCTGGACGTTCGGTCAGCCGGGGCGGACGGCGGCGGGAGGTCTGAGGAATCGCCAGAGGTAAGTGTCACTCGGGCTGCGCTGGGTCAGTACAGGTAATAGCACATAACGCTCATGAACACAAATATAAAAGTTTTGGGGTCATTTTTTGTATCACTTCTAAATGTTTTTAGCTCTGAACTCTAGACGGATATAAGACATAAAATGCATTTAATACAAGCAGTGCGAGTACCTGAAGGTGACCTGGTATCAGCCTCTTGTCTTCCTTATACAGCAGAGCACAGACTGGGGGAGGGAGCAGTACTAGGCGCCAATCAGATATGTTGCAGTGCTCATGTGGTAACTATGAGCATGATGATAGGTGGAGAGAGCAGAGTGACAAGTGAGTGAGTGGTTCACTAACCAATCACAGGCTGGGGGTGGGACAAGCCCCGGAGAGGATACATTGGTGTAGAGAACACGATCCCTCCTTCATATGCATATGTACGGTCCTAGTTTGATGTGTGAAGATCCAAATAATGCAGCTTTTGTGTCTTCTGTTCCCCGGAGAGGAATTATGAAAAAGCGTTCCAACATTTTAGCTGAAAAAAGTCAGTGAAAGTTTAAATGTTTATCACTGGAACTGATACCCCCAGCACAGCGGGCACTGTGATACCCCCAGCACAGCGGGCTCTGTGATCCCCCCAGCACAGCGGGCACTGTGATACCCCCAGCACAGCGGACTCTGTGATACCCCCAGCACAGCGGGCTCTGTGATACCCCCAGCACAGCGAGCTCTGTGATACCCCCAGCACAGCGAGCTCTGTGATACCCCTAAAGAAAGCACATTACTGAGATTTTTTTGTAATTTCATCACATAAATGTATTAATCCGCCAGCAATCCCTACACCAACATTTAAAATAACTCTATAAATAAATATGTATCAAAAAAGTTGCAGAGCCTGCGGACCCAGTTCATATATACATATAGTTTGTTTGTTGACTTCCTTATATCAATGCATATAGTATAGCTCGGCTTTTTTCACAGAGTACGGAGTTAAACGATGTATTGATTGTATTCTGATGTGTGTAGTATATCTTTGCATGTCATAGATATCTCAGCAGTTCATGTTTGATTTGTATCCAAAATAGCTTGAGTGTCATCGTATGTACAAAGTGATTGTTATTTTGCACATATGACGACAAACTTTTTGATATGTATTGTGGCAATGCCATGGTGTCTTTTGGCAGTGCGTGGCAATGCCATGGTGTCTTTTGGCAATATAGTCACCCAGGTCTCTCAGGCAGGGGGGGCTGAGCAGTTCCAGAAAGCGCAAATGTTTACTGGGGAAGAGCCGGCTTTGCAGTTCTTCCCGGGTTTTCCGGATTTGGCTCGGGTTCCTGGACCTGGGTCCGGGCTTTAGTGGTGACCAGCACCGAATGATGGTGCACCTGTGCACAGCCCTTATGAGAAGGATGCTAGCTCATGTTCAGGGCTCCAGCTGGGAGACAGAGGAGGTCTCCACCCTGGGACCAGTCTGTGTCTGGCGGACTGAGGAGTGGGTCACCTGTGTGGTGAAAACGTTTGGTAATCAGACAACCTAAAGTCGGTGGAAAGTTCTATTTTTGGATGTGCATATGTTCCTGTGCAAGAGATGATAACGGACCCCTGCGAGGGTAATCACATTGTTTTGAGAACTTTCATTAAATAAAAGTGGGCAAGGATGCCCTTAAAAGAAGTCATAAGCGACTGGATGCGTCCTTAATGCGCTACCATTGGAGGCTAAATCTCACAATATCTATCTATTTATTTATAGAGTTATTTTAAATGTTGGTGTAGGGATTGCTGGCGGATTAATACATTTATGTGATGAAATTACAAAAACAAACTCAGTAATGTGCTTTCTTTAGGGAAATTTTGTATTAACAAAATCTGAGCTCACAGAATATACACTTCGCCCTCCATAATGATAAGATGGTGTCCTGAGCACTTCCTCATTCTTTGTATAGCTGTGTTGTTTCCGTCAGCGGTAAAGAGAAATGGAGACAGTAAAACCTCGCCGATCCCTCAGGCAGCTATACACACCTACAGGTGAAACTCGAATAATTAGAATATCGTGCAAAAGTAATGGCAGTAAGTGCTGCAAAAGGGGCCCAAACCAAGTACTGAGTACATATGCATGCTTGTACTTTTCAGAGGTCCGATATTGTTCTATGTACAATCCTTGTTTTATTGATTGCATGTAATAATCTACTTTTTTGAGGTTGTGGATTTGGGGTTCTTGGGGTTTTCATGAGCTGTAAGCCATAATCATCACAATTATGACAAATTACGACTTTGAACTATCTTGCTTTGCATGTAATGAGTCTCTCTCATATATTAGTTTCACCTTTTAAGTTGCATTAGTGAAATAAATGAACTTTGCACGATATTCTAATCGAGTTTCACCTGTATACAGCGAACAGATACAATACACTGAACCATTGAATTGACCACTACTAACTCGTTATCTTTTAACGAGTTAATCCCTTTTCTTTTGCAACAATACACTGAACCCCCTGGAGGCACCCCGTGATACAAGCATACCCTAATCTTCTCACATTAGATATCAGAACTTCCCTTTTAACCTTGAAGATGAACCCTAGACAGATATACAAATAATACAGCTCAGTATTCGTGAATACATCATCCATTATAACTCGTATACATTGTAAGTCCATACAATGCAGTGACAGTGGCACTGAAGACAACGTATATAGGTCATTGTTCCTGTAAATATCCTCAGCTTCTACTTCCTATAAAAGGTTAACCCTTTCTTGTTCAGTAAAATGTTTGTTATTTTTTTTCAGGATCCCATTGTGAATCCTTCCACCAAATCCCCAGGTAATCTGCCGACATTTGTTTGTCTTCAAGATATTGTAGCCGATGTTGTCTGTAGGACATGATGGTGGCCACAGTGGCCATAAAACATGACTATGATCCTGATGGTTGCTGGATATCATTGAGATCGGGGAGGTTGTAGGACACAATGTTAGACATGCTGGTTGAAGGAGATGATGGTAGGCATGGTGGACACATAATATGATTGGGCTTTTGGTGGCTGTAGGATGTTATGATGTAGGACATGATGGAGGGGCTGCAGGACATGACAAATGTTATAGTGACTGTGGGATGATTGACGGATGATTGGAGTCATGGTGGTTTGATGACCTGCTGGTGGTTGGTGTAGAATATGAATTTGTTTATGGTGGCTGAAACAAACAATTATGTGCATGACAGCTGTACATGATGGGGACCTGGTTGTCTGTATAACATGTTGGTCATGGTAGGTGTACAACATGATAGTGAAAATGATGGTGGTCATGGCTGGTGTAGAAAATGATGGTGGTCACAGTTGGTGTATGAAATGAGGTTGGTCATGGCTGGTGTATGAAATGATGGTGGTCATGGGTAGTGTATGAGGCTGCTTTTGACTGGTGTAGCAAATGATGGTGGCCCCAGTTGGTGCAGAAAATACTTGGGGTCGCAGTTGGTGTATGAAATGATGGTGATCACGATTGCAGGAGGACCTGAAGGTGGTCACAAAGCCTGTAGGAGAGGATCCAGTTCATGATGACTGAAGGAGATGACGCTGAATATTGAATGTCGGACATTCTGGTTGAAAACTGTATCAGTTGTATGAAGTTTTGTATACTGACTGGTGTAAAAAAAGAAGTTTAATGGCCTTGTCTTTGTAACAGATGTTTCGGCACCGAGTAACAAAACACAGCACGTCACACAGGACCCTCCGTCCTCTCTGGTTCTGATAGAGAACCTTCAGGACAGCTACACCTCTGACATGTTCATCCTCCTGCTGGAGAATATAAGTGAGAAGAACGAGGACACAGACTTCCATGTGGAGAGAATTCCAGAGAAACAATCTGCTGTCGTCGCCTTCTCATGTGATATCGGTGAGAACCATCACTGACCCAGAACCCTTCCCTCGTAATATAATCTACAGAATTTTTGACATCATTTGACTATATTGTGGTTCTGAAAATGCGTTATTGTCTCATTTATAATCACCCCGTGTGTCATTGTAGTCTTTACATTTGTAGCCAATGTTCATGTGTGTAAACATTGATGTACTAAAAAGGAACTAAGAGCTCATTGGTTTTTAAAATTTCTGCTGAGGTTCCCATAGTCCTGAGATGTCAGCTCCAGATCTGAGTCTTGGGTTTCTGGAGACGCCTCTGGGAGGCACCTCTTGGGACAGATCTGCCTGGACACTTACCTCTGATACCAGGACTATGAAGAATAATGATGCCAACTGAAAACATACAAGTAAACAATCACCTCTCCTGAGATAAACCCTTGATATCTCAGTAAGGCTTGTGGTCTAAATCCACTTCATTTTTAGATCTTGTGTCCTTTCTACACAATGGAAACCTTGTGAGGAAGCTGCTATGAGAATTCCTCCCAAACCAAGAGCCGCCTGATAGCAGTTTATTCTCTATTGTATGAATTCTGAAGGGAGACCCATCACCCACCATGTGAGCATCACTCAATATATGACAGATACCCAGAATAAGAGAATTGATAATATAAGCATCACCCAACCTATAAGCGTCCCCCATAATATGAGCATCACCCAACCTATGAGCATTACCCAATGTATAATCTTTGATGATAGTGTGAGCATTCCCACAGAACCCTCCAATCTGTAAACATGGGACAGCCGAATCCTCATTATGTACAGCAATTCTAGACATTTAGGGCCCACTCACACTATAGCGTTGCACTCTCACAGTATGAGGATTGATTTATTTTCACTTAGATTAGATTTGATCACCGTGGATTTTGCCCAAATAGAAGATGAATGGAAGAATATCCTGTGCAATGTTGGGTCAGTCTGGTCTACCAAAGTGATGAACCAAAACATCTGTGTGATATCAGACTCTAAATATTTTGTGACCATAGCAAGTCATGAGAGCCTCTACTATGCAGCTATCATCCAACGGCCATATTTACACCCAACCTTTTTAAGTATTGTAGTATCTGCTAGTATGATCCCCTATGCATACTGTGTATCCCTAAAAACCACTGCTGGTACTCTGAATCCAATAGATGTTCAGAGGTACAGTGGTGACCCGTAACATTTTCAATAGAGTGGAGAAGGGTTCGACCCTCTGTCAAGTTTTTATTGCCTGAGTTTATTGCCACAGTTTTTATTATCTGAGTCCACATTAGGGAGATTCACCCTGTGAGCAGCGGCGTAACAATCACCATAGCGACCCAAGTGGCCGATATGGGGCCCGGGGCACAGTGGAGCCCGGCCAGATACCGTGCGGACTGCTTGGGTCGCTATGGGATCCTCTGCTGGTGGCTTTCACTGGCGGCTGAAGACGAACACACTACTGTTCAGATCACTGACAGTAATGTGTGCAGCAGCGCGTTCCTTTCCACAGAGTCAATGAGAGGCAATAGCGGCAGTGGAGGAGGAGGCAGGGCCCGTGGTCGGCAGCAGGGGAGGAGGCGGGGCCCAGTGACGAAGGAGGTGGGGCCCATCAGCGACCGTGGAGGAGGTGAGGAGAGAGGAGGACGAACAGGTAAGGAGTGCGACCAGCCCACCTGAGGGTGACCCTGCATAGCCCACCATAGAGAGTCTATGGTGGGCTCTGAAAGTTCCCCCTCAGGTGGGATCTCGAGTGGGCTCTGCAAGGGGTATAACTAGAAATCACGGGGCCCCATACAAAATTTTGCTATGGGGCCCTGTGATTTCTAGTTACGCCCCTGCCTGTGAGGACAATATTTGAGTTGTCCCCAGAACAAGAGGTAAGGGGAAATGTTCCAATAGGAACAACTGTTCTGGGGACAACTGTCCAAGGGGAGAATTCCCCTCAGTTTGGGTGATTTCTTTGAACTTTCTGAGGCAGGAAGTGAAGGGAAATTTCACAGACAGCAAAAAAACAAAAGAAAAATAATATGAACCGGTCCGGGGCTTTAATCTTCTCTTACTCTATGTAAAACTTATTAAACAGAATTAGCAATGCATAGACTCTGTGGAAGTCCAGGCACAGACAATTCTACAATGTGCTGCTCTGTACCGCACAATTATTTCCCTACATCATTTTCTTTATGTTGGGTACTTCAGCTTTCGTTGTACTTCCATCATGCTTAAGCTGTAAGAGCTGTGCCTCTTATACAGTGAAGCCCTCATATTGTTTATCTGCCCCTCTTCTTCCCTTGGCCATTCATAGGACTGTTTACCAGATTTGCAAGGCTGACAACTGGTCCTCTGTTCTCTAAGTTCTACTAGGTGGTTGTTCAGGCCTCATCTAATGCCAGCTTTGGGTGTAAAGTCCTTCAGCCAACTCTTGGAGCTGCAGAAAGTCCCTAGTACTGTTGTCATTTCTTGGGCCTGTTAGCACTTGCACGCTGTGTTGGCCCTTTTGGACGTCCCCGTGTTCCTTAATGGATGAAAATGAAAATAGGATTTTGTTGTCACTGTAAAGTCCTTTTCTTGGAGTCCATTATTTCCTGTGCCCCTCAATGGGCTTCAAGAAAAGGATTTTACGGTTAGCACAGAAATCATATCATATACATGATATCAGTTAATGAAACAATTTTATTTTTTTTACCAGATATTTTGGCCATTGTTGAAAAATTTTCAAGAAACTCCAGAGTCCGGGCACTTAAAATGACGGCACAGCTTCTGGAAGAAACTAAAACTATCAGGGTTGAGGGTCTCCCCCCTGAAACACCTGAGGATTTCATCAGCCTGTATTTTGAGAACTCAAAGCATGGCGGTTCCGGAACCAATGAAACATTAGCCATTTCTGAAGAGGGCGCCGCACTGGTTACATTCTCCACTGTGGAAGGTACGTTGTGTGTCATGCTGGTCAGCACTCGCAATACTGACCTGCAATTTAATATCATTAATTAATATGAATAATCTTTCTGAAGATCATCTCGTGCAAAAACAAGGCATTCCTGTGTCTATTGTCCATCATACCTCTAAGAAATAAAAATCACATTACTGATTTATGTTATTTAGGCCTAATACTACTAAATATAGGCAGATTATGGGTGAAGACTTCCTGTATTAAATACTCCAGGAACGTATACTGTCCTATTTGTTGTAACATCTTATGGAGCTGCCTAATTATAGGTTCCATCAACCAGCCGCCTGGATAATGGGCTATATACACAAAAGTACAAAACACAAAAAGGTCCCCAGCACACCTACCAGCTGGCCTGCAACAAAACAAATTACCCCGTCTAACAGTGTGCGTTAAAAGCAGAGGTTTTAGTTGCACAAACTTTTGGCCAAAAATATGTAGAAGCCGCACTGCCACCGTCAAGGCTCCTCTGTAAAGTGCGGTCCTAACTCTATTTATACGAGTCTCCAAGTTGGAGCATATTGATGCAGTCGCTAAATTAAATGCAGGTGCACCAGGAGGCAGCCTACTCACCCTCAAAAGGTGCAGGGACACGCTGGAGGCCCGACAATCAAAAATGCACGCTGGGACTCCCAGTGCGTCCCCACATCCCAAATAGTCAAACTAGAAAAAGATGGTAACCGCATTGGGAAGGCTTGCAACATTGTATTGTTGTAAGCCTTCCCATGTGCACCCTGCTATAAAGGCTGGTTATAAATGTATGCGGTTACCATCTTTTTCTATATGCACAAAAGTATCCCATGAAAAAATAACAATACGTGAATAGTGAAATGTACCGGGGGACAACAGACTGAAGAGAGAAGCTGATTGGTTGCTCCAGATTCTGTCTGCTTCAGTTCTGATAAATTCCCCCCTATGTTTTTAGAAACTGCAGTATTATAAAATCAGTAGCTGAAACAGCAGGCAAATCGTGGTATAACAAGCCGGGTTCGGTACACAAGCAGTAGTATAGGAGCAGGCAGAAGGTCAGTAGCCAAAGGTATCAGGTACGAAGCAGAAGACGATGAGAGTAGTTGGTGAATCGGCAGCCAAAGGTCGGTACACGGGTAGCAGTATGAGTAGATTGTAGCACAGAGGGAGCAGGAAGCAAGATATTGGCAGGAGCACAATAATCTGGCAAACAGGAAGTGCAGAGGCGTGGCTTAAATAGGAAGTTCAAGGGAGGAGCAAGAAGTTCAGAGTTCAGCAGGAACTAGGTTTAACTGAGGATTACACAGGAGATCAGGCAAGGAGCTATCCAAGGTTCTAAGGTGGCTCAGCAGGTAGAACCACTACAGCAGAGGCCCTGGGTCCAGATCTGGTTCCTGACAATATTCCTTTTATAAATCATCATTTCTTGAGGACAAACTGACAAGGAAACAAATCGGACAGGTTCAGAAAAATCAGTAATGATAACAATTTAAATGTCTTTGAAATAACTATACAAACACAAATGTAAAAAAGTGAAAGGAAAATAATCGGTAACTATAGAGAGATTACATCGGCAAAAAATCCACCTGAGATGGATGTGTGCGTGTTGTGACATGAGGAGGGTGTTGGTGAAGAGTTATAACTGTGGCAGAGAAAAACGCGCCCTCGTTCCCCAAATTCCTCCATTCATGACAACACGTGTTTATGAGTGACATATTGTGTAGAATATTCTTCATGTCCCAGCAATGAAATTCTTATTGACTCTTCTCTTCCTCTGTGTTTTGTGCAGCTGCTAAGAAAGTTCTGGGAAGGAAGCATCAGTTTTCTAAGAAAGACGTATCTGTGTATCCGTATTATCCCTCACAGGATATCGTACTTTATGGAAAGCAAAGACCCCACATACAAAAACCAGAGCCGCTCACCTTCCCAATAAGTCCGTACATTTTGGGATTCATCCTCAGTAACGCCCAACAAAAAGACAACATGGAAACAACAATGGAGGCTCATACATGTGAGATCAAATGGCCGGATCTACTCTGCCCCAACCCCGAAATCACATTGAACTTTCCTGACACCCTCTCTACTCATCTCAGGACATTGGCAAAGCTTGTCCCAACATGGAACTACACGGTCCATGCAGAGTTCTCTCGTCTCATATCCAAGTACAAAGTCATAGAATATAAAATGGATCAGTCGGTCTGGGATGCTATTAGAGAACATGTCAGCAGCTCCACATATAACGAAGTTCTTATCAAACCTGACATAGCTGCAACGAAGGTTTTCCTGGCAGGATTTGTAAAGGATGTTACAAAGATTGACCCGACATTCAGAAAACTGGTGGAGGAAATCACTAAACAGGTGGAAAGAAAGAATGTCCGCCTCAAAGTTGATGTCATTGTTAATGCAGCCAATGAGGACCTGAAGCATATTGGGGGCCTGGCTGCGGCTTTACTGAAAGCTGCAGGTCCCAAACTACAAGAAGATTCTGATCACATTGTCAAGACAGAAGGTAGATTGTCCGCAGGTGAGTCGGTAGAAACAGACTCTGGTAGATTGCCATGCAAGCAGATTATACATACAGTTGGGCCCAGGTGGAACTCCAGATCAGCTGCACAATGTGATCGTCTGCTACAGAAAGCCATAACCAGCAGTTTAGAACTGGCTGAGAAGTACTGCCACAGCTCCATAGCAATCCCAGCTGTCAGCTCGGGTATTTTTGGTTGTCCTGTAGATAAAAGTGCAGAGAACATAATACAAGCCATCAAACAATACATGGCCAACAAACCTAAAGGCAGCTCCACCATTAAAGAAATCCATCTGGTGGACACTAATGAGAATACAGTACGAATCTTCGCCTCCACTCTGAAAAAGGAGTTTGGAGAGGAGGAAGCTGAACCCGCTCCGCAATATAGAGCGAAAAGACCTGAGAGGGTGGAGAGATCCTTCCCCAAGCAGAGAGTCTATGAAAAGAACGTATCTACTAATCAGATGATGACCAAAGAAAACATTGTCATTACAGTCAGCGTAGGATATATCCAAAGCGTGACAGTGAGTACTGAACTTACTTTGTGTACATTGTTTGTGTTTAGCTTTGGACCCGGTCAACTTTTACATTTTTCCAGCACTATTTTAAAAAAAGTATTTTTACAGTAAATACAAAGTATACATTTTATCCAATCATTGTCTCATTTCAAATGATAGTACAATGAAGTTTCTAGTCCAAATCATTTGCAAATGAAAAACGATGTAAAAAGATTGCAAACAGAACGGATGAAAAAAATAGTGATACTGTATTAATAAACTGCAGAAAAATAATAGCTAAAGACAAAAGGGAGGAAGGAGTTAATAAAGGGAGATTATGGTTAACTAAGGGTTAGTAAAGGATGAAATAGGAATGCATTTTATTTTTTAAAAACAATTTTATCTTGTAAGGTTTCTTTATGTGATGCCGCCCAAACCTTTGATCTACAAATGAAGAAAATAGTAAATAAAAGGAAGCAATACATTGTGACATTGTATATACTCAGTGATACTTGAAGACTATCTGCAGGTGTCATTGTACACAGGAGCTGCTGTGTGATATAAAATAACAGGCAGCTCGTGGTCAGCGGAATGCTTCTATGAAAATAGGTGGAAACCTGCAAAGTGTGTGTGGACTACAGGAACCACAATAGGTGGCATGCCAATGGCCACATGCTTCCTCTCTGGAGGATGCCCTGAGCTGTATTGCACTTTTACTTTTGAGTGAATTCCCTGTTACTAGGATCTGCACTTTAGTTGGTGAGATTTGTTGATGTGTTACACAGTTCCTGGGATGTATTCATCTCCCTTTTCCAAAACAGCCGTAACCATCCAATGCCGAACACATTCTTCTATTTGGGGTTCATGAGATTTTCTTTACTCGCCTCCAATGCTTGTTCTGGTTCATTGACTCAAAATATGAAAGCCATTAGTTCAGCGTAACAGCCAGGTACCTGGTATTTTTAGAAGGAGGTCAGCACTGGCTGTACTTCTCTCAGCATAGGTCAGATTTAGAGTATAGGTGCAGACCCTCGTTCTCCAATTACTTGCATTTCACAGTCATTTTTGGGCAACGGGAACAATTGTATCCGGGAAGATTTACAGCTGTCCAATATTTTGGGATCAGGCTTTTGGCCTCCTTCAGGAAGTGGGGTAGCAATGATTTCCTATATATAGGGGCAGGCCAAGGTGCATTGGGGAAAAAAGAGGTCCCGGGGGGGGGAGGTCTTGTAGAAGGGTCACAATGGTGATTTTCTCTAATAAGTTGATATTTTTATCATACGATTAATTAGTGAACACTGCCAACATCTATGGGGGAAGGGTGCCTGCATCTCCAACACAGTGGGAAAGTTCGGATGCCCCACCTACTTAGCCAAACTGGATCTCTGTACCACCAGACTAGGAGATTAAAATTACTCTCTAGAATAGTAGTATTTTGTAGAAGAGTTTTGGATCACTGATCAGAGAGGGTGTGAGACACTTCCTGCTCCCAATGGTGCAAGGTGTCCAGGGGATTTACATGTGCAGCCTCTAGGCGCACTTTGTACAGCAGTGGGATGGCATGAGAGGGAAGAGTTGTGGACAAAAAGACTTGTCCTATCAGGTTAAGAGAATCCACCTTTTGTAACAGTTTTGGAAGACTCTTAACAAAGTTGGAGAGTTGAAGCCGTCTCTAGAAGAATAGGGGTGTATGCCTCCATCTGTTTCCAAGAGATCAAGTACCTTGTCACCTTTGGTTATCTGGTGCAATCACAATGAGCCCTCAGTAGTCCAATGTTGGGGAGGCCTCATATCTGAACCTGGAGGGAACTGAGGATTTTCCAGAATGCGTATGAGGGAGAGCCTCGTTGCCAATTATGGATGGACCATACCAAGTATCTTCAGTGAAGTGGCCAGGCATCACATTTATGATACTTTGACTTCTGCACACAGCCACGGGTGAAGTGATCAGTATTCTTTCTCTATCACAATGGGGACACTGTCCAAAGTCTGCAGGACATCACCTGCTGTTGTGACTGGAGGAAAGGCCTATGAAAGTATGTAAGGGGATCTCCCCATTCATTTGTGTACCTGAGATTTGTGATGTTTCTCAGACAGATGCGGTTGTAAACAGCGTGGGAAATGACCTACGACTCAGCAGTGGCGGAGCATCGAAGGCTCTTTTAGACAAGGCCGGGGACGAGCTTCAGCAATGCCTGAATAAAGTCCGTTCTGGAGCTCAGGTGGAAGACGGTTCGGTGTTCATCACAGAGGGCTGTAATCTGTCCTGTAAGACTGTTATTCACGTGGTGGTTCCTCATTGGAATGGAGGAAATGGTTCTTCTGAGAAGGTAACCAAAAAAAATGTAAGCGTATCTAAACCATAAATAAAAAATGTCATATATTGCAGATCACCAGTCCTTAGATGCGTTAGTTGCATTAGTTTTCTTTTATCAGGCTTTTTTCCTTTATTTTCACCTGATGATCCTGCCAGTACCACACTTCCTGGCCTAGGGTGACAACACTTCATCACTGTACTGTATCCATGGAAGAGCAGTGTTGTCATCTCTGGCCTCCCCCACCAGCGCCCTCTAGTGTCTACTGTGTGGTAGTGCCGGCTCTGCTCGCTACCACACAGTAGACACTGCTCTGCACAGAGTCGGCATAGCGGACCGGCCCTGGCTGCTGTGCGGGCCACATTACAAGGTCCGGCGGGCCGGATTCGGCCCGCGGGCCTTGTGTTTGCCACCCCTGCCCTAGAACTACAAAATACCTTTCCTCTTCTCTTCTCTATTACATGTGGGTGTACTGTAGTTCACATAAGATAGCTGAGAAAGCTGCTAACATTGCTAACACAGCCACCACATTTAAGGACTTATAAGCTGCCATTTATAAATTACATTTGTTTCCCATATTTTTTTTATTAATTGAAAACGTTTTTGTTTTCCTGACAAATAAACATCTGCACACAGCAAACCACAACCAAACAATCAGAAAACCACAAAAATACCAACCTAAACCCAACAGCACAGACAGGCCCGTCTTTAACGCAGGGCAAAAGGGGCAGTTGCCCTGGGCCCAGTTATTGTTGTGGGGCCCAAAGCAGCCGCCCGTGGAGCCTGCACTGCTCGCTCCCTACCTGGAGATGCGGGATGTCAGTGTCCCGTCCCTTCTCCCCCCTCACCCTCCTGGTTTCCCTTATCTCTCCAGAGATAAGACAGACAGCAGAGATCGGCAGATCGGGACCTTTGTCTGCTCTGCCTAGCAACTGATGACGCTGATGGGCGGGCTGTCATAATAACGTACCTCGGCCCGCCCATCACCTCATCAGTTGCTAGGCAGAGCAGACAAAAGTCCTGATCTGCTGCCTGTCTGCAAGTAACAGCAGCGGGGAAGAGATTAGGGAAACCAGGAGGATGAGGGGGAGAGCACGGGGATTACAGGCTCAATAACAGACTCTGATCCCCTTGCAGACAGGCCGCAGAGACCAGAAGATCGGAACTTTTTTTTATCAAAGCACAGGGATCAGAGCCTATCATGCATGCCTAGACCAGCCGGCCCGCCCATCTGCATCATCAGTTGCTAGGCAGACGGGGGGCTGATAAAAAAAATATATAAAATAAATAAATTGATTTGGGATGTTGGGGTGGAGAGAGAAACTGGCCAAGAAAATGTTTGCCCGAGGTCCAATCAATATTAAAGATGGCCCTGAGTACAGATATTAAACATGACACATTCTATTCTATCCCATCCCTCTGGTTCTAAAGAGAGAACGAGAAAGAAAAAGAGAAGAGGTAAAAACCTCATACAAAATATTCCTCCGGCATTCCGGAGCGTAAAGTATATTTTATATTCCCACCAACTCTGTACCAGACCGGGTATCTGAAGCCATCCTGTCCTCATTTTTTGGGACTTGTTTAGAGCTCCCCCGTGCTTCAACTGCTGTGATCTCAAATTCAATTTGGTTGTTAATATCAATTCTCCCAATGTTAGTCATCGTGGTTAAATTAATTCTTCTAAGCCCCAGTCTCTTATCAACTTGATTTTCTGGAACCTCCAGATGCCCCATTATTATATTGAACATCTTCCTAATATTTGGCCAACTTGGGACCTCTCCAGATCGGATGTGTAAAGTCTCCGGGGTCCTTCTCTAGTACTGTTAGAACGAAGGCCTGCTCTATAAAGTGAATGGGGAGTTCTATACGTCCTATGGGCACTAAATACTTCGGAGTTCCTCTGTGAGAGGCTGTTATTCAGACCTCATCATCCTCAGCATCACGTCATATGCCTTCAGACCATTGCCCTCTACATCTCGGGGGATATTTTTGGATTGATTTGTTGGATATAGAAGAGATAATACACTTTGTACCATCAGACATCCCCGGATCCTTCTCCTGGGAGCCTATTGCATGACACGGTTGTACATTCCGGGAAAAGCTTTGTTTCGGTATAGAGAACTCTTCCTGTAACCGATGAAATGATTTGAGGGAATTGTTACAATACACTTGGTCCGATCTTAGAATACAATGTTTACATGTTGTCTGTCGGTTTGTTGTCTCCTTCTGAAGTCCTGACTGGTCACGTCTCCGCCAAGCTCAGTTTTTGATCATCGTTTTATAATTGTGTTACGTTTTAGATTTTCAGGGAAGTCGTGAGGAGCTGTTTGTGTGAGTCAGAGAAGAGGAAAATGAGATCCATAACATTCCCGGCCATCGGGACCGGAGTTCTGGGATTTCCAAAAAGTTCTGTCGCCACTTTTATGTTTGAAGAGATTCTCAAGTTTAGCAGCAAAAGTAACCCCCAACATCTGAGAGAAGTGTGCTTCATTCTGCATCCCAGTGATAAGGAAACAATATCGGTAAGTTCACTTTAATATGAATTCCTATAAAAAAGTATGATTCAGGGTGCATCTGCTGCTTCCGTTATGGGTCAGATGGTCAACCAGCGAGTTTTTGAAGGGAATACACAGTGGTTTTATATATTTTTATTTATTACGGTCAGGAAATATATATATGTGTATATATATATATATGTATATATACTGAGTGGCCAGTTTATTATGACCACCTGACGTTTGTAGGCAAATTAGCTATAATTTGGCGCTGAAGTTGCTAGTGGGCCGGACCATTATAAATAGGGAAGCGGGTTGGTTACCACGACAGTAGAAGTGATTTCTGAAGATACGGGGAAACAACGCGATGTAACAGCCTTGGAACGCGGGATGATTGTTGGCGCTCGGAGCCATGGAGCGAGTATCAGCAATACAGCAGAATTCGTTAAATGTTCAAGAGCGGTTCATTGTTAAAGTGTTTAAAAACTGGACTGTCAGCCGAAAATCTGGGTCTGAACGTGCGAATTGTGGCCGTCAGCGACTAGTCAATGTTAGGGCAGAACGGGGGAGGGGCAAGACTGGTACAAGACAACAGAAGGGCAACAGCGCCGTGTCAGATTCCTCGCATCACCTTTCATCATCTCGTGGAGTCACCAGGCGGCCCAACCAAGTACTGATGGGGTGGTCATAATAATCTGGCCACTCAGTGTATATATATTATACAGTATATGCATACACACAGTATATTACAAACAGAAGTCAGAGCAAAAACTCTCATGACTTGGCCTGGTGTATGGAGGAGGTGAGGTGTGCGGTGAAAGGCTTCTTCCCTTACCAGTGACAGGTTTTTTAGGATGTCAGAAATTTTCTTTGTACAATATCATAATTTCGCTCAGATCATACAGTGGAACGCCAAAGCAAATATGTGCATTTGTTAGAAGTAGATATAGTAGATATATACTATATAGTAGATGCACGTGGGACTGCTCACTAGTAGCATCATACTGCAGACATATTGCCCATTGGGCAGGCAGGTCACCCAGGAAGCTGTAAAGCTGAATGAGGAAATGGTGACACCTTTTGTGGAGAATGTACTAAGTGATTGCAGATGGCGTCCTGATGAGGACTCAAACATGAAGACCTCAGTGCTGCAACACAGAAGTACTAAAGACTAAGTCACCATGCTGGTATACAGTATATATGTATATTGTGGTAGAACAGAGCTCATTGCTATTTCTTTCATCCCATTCAGGAGTTTTCCAAGGAACTGAGCAGCCGGATGGACCGAAATGCCACAGTAAGAACTCGGAGCAGTATGGCGGCTCCAGGACCCTCCCACAGCTCACAAGTTGGTGCTGGATCCAGTCCAGGTGAGTGAGCACAGCCACAGACAGGCAGGCATCTCACCAAGAGTAGCATGTTCAGATCACCAGGACCCCCTATTCCTCTACGCACTGCGGTTGTTTTCAGCTCGGCGTGCTGATTTCCAGAGCGGGAGTATCGGTGGCACAGTTCTGGGTTTGGGATAATTCCTCTTCTTTTTGCCTGTTGCAGGTTTCTTTGGTACAGTGAGCACTCCAGTGGCCGGAACTCATGAAATGAAGGTCGGATCGGTCACTTATCAAGTGAAAACGGGAGACGTAACGAAGGAGGACACTGACGTCATTGTCAACTCAACTGACAAGACATTCACCATGCGATCAGGTATCTCCTAATGGGGGAGAGATAAATCACTTTAGACACTTTCGTTCCCCCCCCACGATTTATTCCAAGCCCCAGAGATGGTCATCTGTAATCCAATTTGGTTTTCAGTCCAGTACACTTTGCCTTCATCCCGTGTGTCACCTCCTTCATTGTCCATTCCCGCTCCGGCCCCTCGTTGGATTCTCATTATGCTCTTTTCTTCCCTCCTAGGTGTGTCTAAAGCCATCCTGGATGCTGCGGGACAGAGTGTGGTGGATGAGTGCACTCGGCTCGGTAAGAAGCCCCAAATAGTCATTGTAATACCTGGCAGCCATATTGGCGGTGGGATAAATATTCTTCCCTTGAGGATCACCTACAGAGCATGGAACTCAACGACTCTAGATCTGTGCAGCCTCCACTATCCCCCCAATATTCAGAGGAAGATGTCTGCCTCCAATGCTCCTCTAGGAGATGATACCCCCATGCCTTGCAGAGATCTCCTCATACTTCCTGGAAGTGAAGAAAAATCTACTTGACTGGGCAAGGGTAACAAAGTGAACCTTATGGAGTCATAGGCATTCCCTACTCTATCCAAGACTAAAAGAAAACTCAGACTTTACATACTATAGAGTATAACCAACCTTCTTGACATTTCTGCTATAGATTATTTTTTTGAGGGTTAGCTATCCACTGTATATCTCTCATTTCCTTTTGTGATCTTTGTAACACTTTCGATCAGCCGGTAAATGCTCGCTGTTTTGTACTCTTGTGATCGGGAGTCAGCGCTCACACCCGGGTTAATGACACCTCATAGAGACAATGTGATGGGATGATACAGAGATACATTGTACAAGTTGTATGTCGGGTGCGGATTTCTTATTGGATTGTCTTTTTCATCTACAGGATCTAAGGGTAAAAAGCATATTGTGACCCAGAGTGGAAATCTTCGCTGCAAGAAAATCCTCCATAAGGTCGGCACAAATTCAGCCAAGGAAATCCAAACTTTCATTACTGAGTCTCTGACTGAGTGCGCTGGACTCCGGGCTAAATCCGTGGCCTTTCCTGCCATAGGGACAGGTCTGTGGTCTGTTACATTTTCTGCCATATTTTATTCATTCTACATGTCACTGTAACTTTCACCCGTGTCACTGTCCCCTCCCCCATTGTCACTGTCCCCTCCCTGTGTCACTGCCCCCTCCCCATGTTACTTCCCCCCCTTCCTGTGT